CGTCCCCCAGGAAACATGGCCGACGCGACGTCATCACTCCCACGAGCACCAGGACGTCAGCCACCACGACGATGCAAAAACCACACGCAGCCAGGCACAATGGCGGCACTTGTTGTCTTAAAGGGGCCCTAAAAACACACGACGTTTTATTACTTGCACAGTAAAGTAATTCTAGTTTTTCATTTGCTACACGGCCAGATAACACGACAAATCACTCACCTTAAACACCCGGTCATTCGTAAAAGTCGAAGGCGGTATAGTACTATAGTAATAGAGCAAGTGCAGAACCACTGAACTGGAATTTATAGCTTGAAAGCATTTAGCGCGGGGCCCTTGAAAGTGCGGGGCCCGTAGCTACTACATATGTAGTAGTAGCTACTTGTGCTACTACACGTGTAGTAGCTGCTACTACACGTGTAGTAGCTGCCACTACACGTGTAGTAGCAGCTACTACTACACGTGTAGTAGTAGCTGCTACTACACGTGTAGTAGCTACTACACGTGTAGTAGCTACTACATAGTAGCTACTTATGTAGCTACATAAGTACTACTACACGTGTAGCTACTTGTGCTACTACGGTAATCCGGCACTGGCCAGGCAGCATCGCCGGCGTGAACTCATCGCTTCGACGCGTTTGAAGCCGATGTGGCGATGTGGGTCGTACGTTGACGCTGTTAGTGCTGATGGCATTAGCGACGCTACAGTAACACCTAGGGTGCATTCTACACAAAGTGGCAATGTGGGATCTTTGTGATTGTTTCACTATGTCTGATTATGCCTTTGCGTGTTTGTGTTGACAGGAGGGAGTCTATGGGTAGTGTTGAGTCTATGGGCAGTGTTGAGTCTATGGGCAGTGTTAGTCTATGGGCAGTGTTAGACTATGGGCAGTGTTAGTCTATGGGTAGTGTTAGTCTATGGGTAGTGTTGAGTCTATGGGTAGTGTCGAGTCTATGGGTAGTGTCGAGTCTATGGGTGGTGTCGAGTCTATGGGTAGTGTTAGTCTATGGGCAGTGTTAGTCTATGGGTAGTGTTGAGTCTATGGGTAGTGTTAGTCTATGGGTAGTGTTAAGTCTATGGGCAGTGTTGAGTCTATGGGTAGTGTTGAGTCTATGGGTAGTGTTGAGTCTATGGGTAGTGTTGAGTCTATGGGTAGTGTTAGTCTATGGGTAGTGTTGAGTCTATGGGCAGTGTTAGTCTATGGGCAGTGTTAGTCTATGGGCAGTGTTAGTCTATGGGTAGTGTTGAGTCTATGGGTAGTGTTGAGTCTATGGGCAGTGTTAGTCTATGGGTAGTGTTGAGTCTATGGGCAGTGTTAGTCTATGGGCAGTGTTAGTCTATGGGTAGTGTTAGTCTATGGGTAGTGTTGAGTCTATTGGCAGTGTTAGTCTATGGGTAGTGTTAGTCTATGGGCAGTGTTAGTCTATGGGTAGTGTTAGTCTATGGGTAGTGTTGAGTCTATGGGCAGTGTTAGTCTATGGGCAGTGTTAGTCTATGGGTAGTGTTGAGTCTATGGGCACTGTTAGTCTATGGGTAGTGTTGATTCTATGGGCAGTGTTAGTCTATGGGTAGTGTTTAGTCTATGGGCAGTGTTAGTCTATGGGCAGTGTTAGTCTATGGGCAGTGTTAGTCTATGGGCAGTGTTGAGTCTATGGGCAGTGTTAGTCTATGGGTAGTGTTGAGTCTATGGGCAGTGTTGAGTCTATGGGCAGTGTTAGTCTATGGGCAGTGTTGAGTCTATGGGTAGTGTTAGTCTATGGGCAGTGTTGAGTCTATGGGTAGTGTTGAGTCTATGGGCAGTGTTAGTCTATGGGCAGTGTTAGTCTATGGGCAGTGTTAGTCTATGGGTAGTGTTGAGTCTATGGGCAGTGTTAGTCTATGGGTAGTGTTGAGTCTATGGGCAGTGTTAGTCTATGGGCAGTGTTAGTCTATGGGTAGTGTTGAGTCTATGGGCACTGTTAGTCTATGGGTAGTGTTGATTCTATGGGCAGTGTTAGTCTATGGGTAGTGTTTAGTCTATGGGCAGTGTTAGTCTATGGGCAGTGTTAGTCTATGGGCAGTGTTAGTCTATGGGCAGTGTTAGTCTATGGGCAGTGTTGAGTCTATGGGCAGTGTTAGTCTATGGGTAGTGTTGAGTCTATGGGCAGTGTTGAGTCTATGGGCAGTGTTAGTCTATGGCAGTTAGTCTATGGGCAGTGTTAGTCTATGGGTAGTGTTAGTCTATGGGCAGTGTTGAGTCTATGGGTAGTGTTGAGTCTATGGGCAGTGTTATCTATGGGTAGTGTTAGTCTATGGGTAGTGTTGAGTCTATGGGCAGTGTTAGTCTATGGGCAGTGTTAGTCTATGGGCAGTGTTAGTCTATGGGCAGTGTTGAGTCTATGGGTAGTGTTAGTCTATGGGCAGTGTTAGTCTATGGGTAGTGTTAGTCTATGGGCAGTGTTGAGTCTATGGGCAGTGTTGAGTCTATGGGTAGTGTTAGTCTATGGGCAGTGTTGAGTCTATGGGCAGTGTTAGTCTATGGGCAGTGTTGAGTCTATGGGCAGTGTTGAGTCTATGGGTAGTGTTGAGTCTATGGGCAGTGTTAGTCTATGGGTAGTGTTAGTCTATGGGCAGTGTTGAGTCTATGGGTAGTGTTAGTCTATGGGTAGTGTGTCTGCATGTTGAACTTCTATCGCAACGTACGTAGCCAGCCGTGCTAATTGCTCCGTCGCGTGCGCTGAGCGACCTCCGGCGAGATCGTCGCTCGTACGACGACGACGACGACAAATCCTCGAGACGCTTCGGCGCTCCGGCGGTTTGCCGACACGATTTGGAATCGGCCGGCACACTTCCCCCGTGACCTAACGACCCCAGCGGCTCTCTCGATGGGTGGCGCCGGAGAGATTTTTTTGGTAAAATAATTTTTTGATATTTTGCCTTCAAATAAAATAAAATAATAAATACGCTGTAACCAACACGACGATCTCACCGAAGCAGAGAAGAGTTATGGCGAACATCGGTCACGGGGGGGGGGGGGGGGGAAGCCTTCAAATAAAAGTCGCCGTCAATGTTATTCGTCGTGAAGTTCGCGACCGATGCCGTAGCAGTTCTTAACTACGAGCGGCCGAGACCGACCATGAGCCACGTGACGCCCCACGTCTCCCCGCTCCGCCCCGGGGTTGCCTCCACGCGGCGCTTTTGATCAAGTTGACGTGAAAGGCCCCTTGTGAAATGAGCGTTGTCACTTGGAGCGACCGATCGCTCGCAAGGCCACACTTTACTCCGCTACCTCTATCCCCCCGGGGAAGGTTTTGTGGATGGGAGGGGTCAAGGTGGGGGGGGGGGGGGGGGACAGGACACACGCACGGACTCGCTAAGGCAAAACTTTCTCTCGGCGCGACTGCGGTTACAAACGGGACCGGGGCAGAAATCCCGGAATAAATACGAAGAAAGCGACATGCTTGCACACACACACGCATCTACACACACACACATCTACACACACAAACACGCATCTACACACACACACGCATATACACACACACACACACGCGCATCTACACACACACCTACGTACACACACGCGTCCGTACACTCACGCGCGAAGCGCTTCATGCAAAAAACAAATCATTTCGCGACGTCACAGCCGCGTGTGGTTGTGACGTCGTGAACCGTGGGCAGCGCCCCCCCCCCCCCCCCAAGCCGGCGAGCCGAGTTCGATTCCCGCTCGCGGCCCAAACGCCGGCCGGCGTCACGATTATCTGAACCGGTCGCGGGACTCCCCGAGGTCGACTCAGCCCGGAATGAGTGCCTGGGTGGCGCGGCGTGTAATAAAACATCGCCACTGGGGAGACAGAAGCGGCCGCGGCGTGGAGCTGGCCGCCCCCCCCCCTTCGTGCGCCGTGTCGGGGCGTGTGGGCTACACGTGTGGGCTACACGTGCGTGTGGGCTAACACGTGCGTGTGGGCTACACGTGCGTGTGGGCTACACGTGCGTGTGGGCTACACGTGCGTGTGGGCTACACGTGCGTGTGGGCTACACGTGCGTGTGGGCTACACGTGCGTGTGGGCTACACGTGCGTGTGGGCTACACGTGCGTGTGGGCTACACGTGCGGGCTACACGTGCGTGTGGGCTACACGTGCGTGCGGGCGTGCGTCAGTTCTGTGTCGACGCGGATCGACGTATTAAAGCTGAGCAAACACTAAAAACAGGCGGTCGCCACCCTGCGCTTCACGCGCACACACACACAGAAGCACGCACGACACGACGCAGGCGCCCGTAGCGCACCAACCCCGCGCTCCGCCACACCCCGAGGGTGACGCGCGTAAACGCCGCGCAAGCTTCCGCCGGTGCCCACGTTTTATCGACCGGCGCATCCGAGCCAGCGCAGGGTGGCGGGGGGGGGGGTGCTATTGTGGACGCGTGGTTTTTACCGCCGGCTTTAGTTGCCGAGCCGTTTACCGTGCCGTGAGTCGCTGCTGGCCCTCGCAGAAGCTGCGGATCTTGCTCGGAGCCAAGCAGGGCCGGCGTAGGGGGGCGGCGGGGGCTATCGATGTGCTCGCCGCAGGGGGGGGGGGGGTGTGGTGACATCACCGACACGCGGCGCGGCTCCCTGCAGTGGCAGAAAACGAGCGGGCCGGCGAGCGGAGAGACGCGGGGGGCGACCTCTGAAGACGCGAGGACGCGGCGGTGACGCCAAGGAGACTTTCTCCCACCCATCGGCGGCTTCACGCGACGACCGCCCCACGTCCCGGCCGCGCGGTTACAGCCGGGCGTGACGCCACGCACGGCGCGCAGAAGCAGCGCGGAGTGTCGCGCTGAAAATGAATGAACTCGCATTCCGTAAATTTTAAGGAATACTTTTGGATCTTTTTTCGGGTAACTTACGCACACAGCAGTGGTGTCACCCCCCCCCCACCTCCCCCCCCCCCCCCCCCCCCCGATGTCGGTGTGGACGGTACGCGTATCGGAAAATTTATCGTGACTCTACCGGCAGCGGACCAACGCCCCCCCCCCCCACCACCTCCCCGGGTCGCTCCTGCGATTGACGCTCCTCTCTCCTGGTCTCTCTCTCTCCCGAGCTCCACAAAATCAACTGGAGCAGGGAGAGCCGATTTCGTCGCCGAAACGTCCCTCGTCTGGCTCCCGGGCTCCCGGGCTCCCGAGTGTTTCCGAGCGAAACCGATTGTGGGAAGGCCGCAGGGCAACGTCGCGAACCCACCGCCGGAGAGGCCGATGCCGCCGCCGCCACCTCTGCAAGGGGCAGCCGCGTGCCGGGCGCGGTGCGAACGAGCGGTGCCGGCGCCGGTGCCAGCGAGGACCGCGGTGCGTTCACCGTCGCAAAGGACGTGGGGGCGACGGTGAAATCGGCAGCGGGTGCCAGTGGCGCTTTGCCACGTGGCAGGTTTGCACGAGGCGGCGGCGGCGGCTTGGTTGAGGCCTTCATCCAGTAGTGGACCGATCACGGCTCGTGACGAATTAACGATGTATATTAGTACGCAACTGAACTGTGGCGCTGGCTGCAACGAGGCGGCCGCGAACCAAAACAATTCAACGACAAGTGTTTCTGTTCGTGGGTTCTGCCTTCCGTTACAGTGCACTCTCGCGTCCCACGTTGTTTTGGTTCAAGCAAATAGGTCAAAGACAACTCGGGATAAAAAAAAGAGAGAAAAATACAGCACACGCGCACGCTGCGGTTACCACAGACCGGCGATCAGACGTACGGGCGATCGGCGATCGGACAGACCGGCGATTAGACGGACGGGCGATCGCGCGAGCGGCGGGCGCGGCGACGGGGCGGGTTGCGCCGCGGCGGCTAGCTGCTCGTCTTCTTGAAGAGGCGCGCGATCCGGGACTTGCGGCCCACCTTGAACTCGGACACGGACGAGGAGTCGTCCGCTCTCGCCGCGTCTCCCGCCGGGCGCGGGGCCCCGGGGGCCGGGCCGAGAGTGGCGGCACTGGCGGTGGCGGCCGCCTCGGCGAGGCTGCCGCCGCTGTTGTTGCTGCTGTCGCTCTCGTCGGCGTCGTCGTGAGCCGCGAGGACGGCACCCGGCGGGGCCGCCAGCTGCTGCAGCTGCTGCTGCTGCAGATGCTGCTGCTGCTGCAGCTGCTGCTGCTGCTGCGGAGGCTGCAGGTGGTGCAGGTGGTGGTGGTGCTGCAGGAGGTGCGGGGTGGCGTGGGAGGGGGCGTGGTGCTGCTGGGAGGAACCCGCGCCACCACCTCCGCCCCCAGCGCCGCACGGGGGGAGAGAGGCCAAGGAGTGGAAGGAGACTGGGCCCGGAGGAGCGGAGGCCGTGGAGAGGAGAGACTCCATGCTGGAGTGAGGCCTGCGTGGTGGACACAGAGAGAGAGTGATAGAGAGAGTGAGACAGTGAGAGAGAGAGTGAGTGAGAGAGTGAGAGAGAGTGAGAGAGAGAGGTGAGAGAATGAGAGAGAGTGAGAGTGGGAGAATGAGTGAGAGAATGAGTGAGAGAATGAGGGAGAGTGAGATAGTGAGAGAGAGTGAGTGAGAGAGTGAGTGTGTGTAGTGGTAGTGGAGCGGTTAGCGGCTCTGCGCCACAAACCCGGCTGCGATCCGAGTTCGATTGCCGCTCACGGCAAGCAACACCGGTGACGATTATCTGAACCGGTCCCGGCCTTTTTAGCTCTGGGTTTTTTTTGGTCTCCAAGGAGTTTCTACGTCAATCCCCAACTCTCAGACATCGGGTCGTCTCAGACAGAATTACCGTGACCCCACGTCACACGCAGATGGACGGACGGACGGAGATCGACCCTCACCAGCTGGAAGAGGCCGAGAACATGATCATGGAGTCTCGCTCGTATCCGGAGGAGGGCAGCTGGTCATGTGACACGGCCCGCGACCAATCGGAGAGCGGCATGTGGGAGCTCACGTGACGCCGGGACACCGGCGACGGAGTCTTATTGGCCGGCAGTCGGGTCATGTGACTGTCGGCCGTCACGTGATTGGTCGGCTGGGGCGGCGCCGGCGCCGAGAGGGATGACTGCGTGACGATCATGGAGGGCGGAGAGGTGACGGGACTGAGGGGTTCGTCTGTAAAACAGCGACAAGGGTGGAAGTTCCACGTTACTATGGCAGGCAACAGTCTCTCCATCGGATGGCCAGCGCTCTTTGCTCAAACTGGTGCTTATTTTATTGACTCCAGATTTATGATCTGCACACACACACAGACGTGTACACACACACAGACGTGTACACACACACGTGTATACACACACGTGTATACACACACACGTGTATACACACAGACGTGTACACACACACACAGACGTGTACACACACACACACAGACGTGTACACACACACAGACGTGTACACACACACAGACAGGTACACACACACAAACAGGTACACACACACACACAAACAGGTACACACACACAGACGTGTACACACACACACGTGTACACACACACACAGACAGGTACACACACACAAACAGGTACACACACACAAACAGGTACACACACACAGACGTGTACACACACACAGACAGCGGGAACCGGGTATCGCGAATCGAACTCGGGTTCGCCGGGTTCGTAGCGCAACGCGCTAACCGCTGCACCGCTACACCCCAACACACTCACGCGCGTGTACACACTTACACACGTGTGTACACACGTACATGCGCACGTACACGCGTGTACACGCACCGTCCTGCGGGCTCTCGTCGTAGAGGCGCGTGTGCAGCGCGGCGAGCCCGGCGTTGTTGACGATGTGGAAGCCGCACACGTGCTCAATGTGCTGCCAGCGGTGCAGCCGCTCACGCAGGCTGCTGGTCACCTCGTTCAGCGCCTGCCTGCCACGGGAGAGCGCACGCAGAGTACACACAGTACACACACAGTACACACACAGTACACAAACACACAGTACACACACACAGTACACACAGTACACACACACACAGTACACACACACACAGTACACACACAGTACACACACACAATACACACAGTACACACAGTACACACACACACAGTACACACACACACAGTCCACACACAGTACACACACACAGCACACACAGCACACACACAGCACACACACTACACACACAGTATACACACAGAGTACACACACAGAGTACACACACAGTATACACACACAAACACACAGTACAAACAGTACACACACAGCACACACACACAGTACACACACACAGCACACACTACACACACAAACAGTACACGCACACACACAGTACACACACACATCACACACACACAGTCCACACACACAGTACACACACACAGAGTACACACACACAGTACACACAGAGTACACACACACAGTACACACAGTACACACAGAGTACACACACACTACACACATACACACAGCGACCACACATCACACACACAGTCCACACAGTCACACACAGTACACACACACAGAGTACACACATTACACACACACCGGAGTACACACACACAGTTACACACAGTACACACACAGAGTAACACACACACACAGAGTACACACACACACACAGTACACACACACAGAGTACACACAGTACACACACACGGAGTACACACACACAGTACACACAGTACACACACACAGTACACACACACAGTACACACAGTACACACACACAGAGTACACACACACAGTACACACAGTAAAACACACAGAGTACACACACACACACAGTACACACACACACACAGTACACACAGTACACACACACACACAGTACACACAGTACACAGTACACACAGTACACACACACAGAGTACACACACACAGTACACACAAGTACACACACACAGAGTACACACACACAGTAACACACACACACAGTACACACAGTACACACACACAGAGTACACACACACAGTACACACAGTACACACACACAGAGTACACACACACAGTACACACAGTACACACACAGAGTACACACACACACACAGTACACACAGTACACACACACGGAGTCTCACTTGGCCGAGAGGATCTTGTGGTCGACCTCGTCGAGCGAGGAGCTGTGCGCCACGTAGAACGTGCCCAGCACCGAGTTGCGCTTGCGGTTGATCTTCTCCGCCTGAGCGGGCGCACGCACACACGCGGTTACACACGCACACACGCGGTTACACACGCGGTCACACACGCAGTTACACACACACACACACGCGGTTACACACACACGGTTACACACACACGCGGTTACACGCACACACACGGTTACATGCGTGCACATAGTTACACACGCACGTGGGTACACACACACACACACGCACGTGGGTACATACACACACACATCAGCCCACAGCTGCCCACGCTTCACCTCCACGCTCCCACAGCCCCTTCACCGCGTCATCACCAAGTGCCACTCCCCTGTCGCTGAGCAGGCGTCCGCGGCGACGCGGGTGCGGACTCACGTGGGTGCCAAGGACACAAACACAAAGGTCCCCCGTGTAGCCTCCAACAGACTGTTGGGGCAAGTGCTGCTTCGCGAGCAGCACCAGTGAAGGCCGGCACGGCGCATGGCGATGAGGATGGCGATGATGACGGTGATGACGGTGATGATGATGACGATGATGACGACGATGACAACGATGGTGATGACGATGGTGGCTACGACGACGGCGATGATGACGGTGATGACGGTGATGATGACGATGACGACGATGACGGTGATGATGATGATGACGACGATGACGATGGTGATGTAGCTACGATAACGGCGACGACGGTGGTGGCGCGGTACCCCGGGGCGTCCGTGCCTCACCACTTCCTTGGCGGCGCTCAGCTGCCGCTCGGCCTCCATCTTCTGCAGGTTGTAGTACTGCAGCTCCACCTCGTGCGTCAGCTGCAGCCACGCCTGCAGCACCGTCGGCACCCCCGAGCGGCGCACCGCCTCCAGCTCCTGCTCCGCACGGCGCAGGCTGCGGCGCACCTGGGGGGGGGGCACAACCACGTGCGTGTGTGTCTGTGTGTGTGTCTGTGTGTCCCTGTGTGTCTGTGTGTGTGTGTCCTTGTGTGTGTGTCCCCCTCCGCGCGTCTCCCCGCGTGTCTCCCCGTGTGTCTCCCCGCGTGTCTCTCCGCGTGTCTCCCCGCGTGTCTCCTCGCGTCTCCCCGTGTGTCTCCCCGTGTCTCCCCGCGTGTCTCCTCGCGTCTCCCCGTGTGTCTCCCCGTGTCTCCCCGCGTGTCTCCCCGCGTGTCTCCTCGCGTCTCCCCGCGTGTCTCCCCGTGTCTCCCCGCGTGTCTCTCCGCGTGTCCCCCGCGCAGTCCCCACCTGCTCCAGCTCCTCCTCTGCGAACCTGCGCCGCATCTGCTCCCCCTCCGCATCGCCGTGCTGCTGCTGCGTTTCGTGCTGCTGCTGCTGCTCACGCCGCTGCTGCTTCTCCGTCACCTCCCAGCGAAGCTTCGTCTCCAGGTGGCGCTTCTCGTCCTCCACCAGCTTCTGCTCCTCCTGAGCCTTCTGCAGCCTGCGGCGCGCGGAGGGAGGGGACACGGGGAGTGGTGGAGGGAGACACGGGGAGTGGTGGAGGGAGACACGGGGAGTGGTGGAGGGAGGGAGGGAGACACGGGGAGTGGTGAAGAGAGAGAGGGAGACACGGGGAGTGGTGGAGAGAGAGGGGAGACACGGGGAGTGGTGAAGAGAGAGAGGGAGACACGGGGAGTGGTGGAGAGAGAGGGGAGACACGGGGAGTGGTGGAGAGAGAGGAGACACGGGGAGTGGTGAAGAGAGAGAGGGAGACACGGGGAGTGGTGGAGAGAGAGTGGGAGACACGGGGAGTGGTGGAGGGAGAGAGAGACACGGGGAGTGGTGGAGAGAGAGGAGACACGGGGAGTGGTGGAGGGAGAGAGAGACACGGGGACAGTGGTGGAGAGGAGAGGAGACACGGGGAGTGGTGGAGGCGAGAACGGAGATGACACGGGGAGTGGTGGAAGGAGAGGAGACACGGGGAGGGTGGTGGAGAGCAGGGAGGACGGGGCATGGTGGAGAGAGAGGAGAACGGGGAGTGGTGGAGGAGACACGGGGAGTGGTGGAGAGGAGAGGAGACACGGGGCACGTGGTGGAGGGAGGACACGGGGGAGTGTGGCGGGAGAGGGAGACACGGGGAGTGGTGGAGGGAGACACGGGGAGTGGTGGAGAGAGAGGAGACACCGGGGAGGGTGGAGGGGAGACACGGGGCTAGTGGTGGAGGGAGGAGACACGGGGCGTGGTGGAGGGAAGACACGGGGAGTGGTGGAGAGAGAGGGAGACACGGGGAGTGGTGGAGGGAGAGGGAGACAGGGGACGTGGTGGAGAGAGAGTGGGAGACACGGGAGTGGTGGAGGGAGAGAGCGACACGGGGAGTGGTGGAGAGAGAGGAGGGGAGACACGGGGATAGTGGTGGAGGGAGAGAGAGACACGGGGGTAGTGGTGGAGAGAGAGGAGACACGGGGAGTGGTGGAGAGAGGGAGACACGGGGAGTGGTGGAGAGAGAGGAGACACGGGGAGTGGTGGAGGGAGAGAGAGACACGGGGAGTGGTGGAGAGAGAGGAGACACGGGGAGTGGTGGAGAGAGAGGAGACACGGGGAGTGGTGGAGGAGAGGAGACACGGGGAGTGGTGGAGAGAGAGTGGAGACACGGGGAGTGGTGGAGGAGAGAGGGAGAGACACGGGGAGTGGTGGAGAGAGAGGAGACACGGGGAGTGGTGGAGAGAGAGGAGACACGGGGGAGTGGTGGAGAGAGGGAGACACGGGGAGTGGTGGAGGAGAGAGAGACACGGGGAGTGGTGGAGAGAGAGGAGACACGGGGAGTGGTGGAGAGAGAGGAGACACGGGGAGTGGTGGAGGGAGAGGAGACACGGGGAGTGGTGGAGAGAGAGAGGGAGACACAGGGAGTGGTGGAGAGAGGGAGACACGGGGAGTGGTGGAGGAGAGGAGACACGGGAGTGGTGGAGGGAGAGGAGACACGGGGAGTGGTGGAGGGAGAGGGAGACACGGGGAGTGGTGGAGAGAGGGAGACACGGGGAGTGGTGGAGAGAGAGGGGAGACACGGGGAGTGGTGGAGAGAGAGAGGGAGACACGGGGAGTGGTGGAGAGAGAGGGAGACACGGGGAGTGACGGAGAGAGAGGGAGACACGGGGAGTGGTGGAGAGAGAGGGAGACACGGGGAGTGGTGGAGAGAGAGGGGAGACACGGGGAGTGGTGGAGGGAGAGGAGACACGGGGAGTGGTGGAGAGAGGGAGACACGGGGAGTGGTGGAGAGAGAGGGAGACACGGGGAGTGGTGGAGAGAGTGGAGACACGGGGAGTGGTGGAGAGAGAGGAGACACGGGGAGTGGTGGAGGGAGAGAGAGACACGGGGAGTGGTGGAGGGAGAGGAGACACGGGGAGTGGTGGAGGGAGAGAGAGACACGGGGAGTGGTGGAGGGAGAGGAGACACGGGGAGTGGTGGAGGGAGAGAGAGACACGGGGAGTGGTGGAGGGAGAGGAGACACGGGGAGTGGTGGAGAGAGGGAGACACGGGGAGTGGTGGAGAGAGAGGAGACACGGGGAGTGGTGGAGAGAGAGGAGACACGGGGAGTGGTGGAGAGAGGGAGACACGGGGAGTGGTGGAGAGAGAGGAGACACGGGGAGTGGTGGAGGGAGAGGAGACACGGGGAGTGGTGGAGGGAGAGGAGACACGGGGAGTGGTGGAGGGAGACACGGGGAGGAGAGGAGGAGGAGGAGTAGGGAATGAGACGGAGTGCCGTCTGTGCCAGCGTCTCGATTCAGCGAGGAGGTAACGACAGCCTCCCACCACCCCCACCCCCCCTCCCCACCCCCCCCCCACTCACTTGCCCTGCATGTCCAGCAGGCTCTGCTCGGCACGCTGCAGGCTGTCCAGCTCGCGCATCATCTTCTTCATGTGGTCGCGCGAGAACTTGTGCTGGATGTAGGCGAACCAGCAGCCGCCCACGCCCATAACCACGGACACCATCAGCAGCAGGTCCTTGAGGCGGCTCCGCTGGGTGGCTGCGGGGGGGTGGAATGGGGGGGTCACAGTGAGGGGCGTGGTGAGTGTGGGGGGGGGGCTGAGTGTGTGGGGGGGGGGCTGAGTGTGGGGCAGAGGTCGCAACCGGGTACCCGATACCCGTACCCTACCCGATACCCGGCTACCCGTACCCGGCCGGGTACGGGTAGCCGTTTGCGACCCTGGTGCGGTCGGGTACGGGTAGACCGTGAGTCACTGGTGAGTCACCGTGATTGTCACTCATTTCCCAACGTCTTGTCTCTTCTCACAATTCAAGTTCCTAGAATCAACCCACCCGCACCTGCAACATGGCTTCATCCCAGAGGTCACAATCAGGTACCCGGCCGGGTAGGGTACGGGTACGGCCGGGTACGGGTGCGGGTACCCATTTGCGACCCTGGTGCGGCCGGGTACGGGTAAGGAATCAAAACCCGTTTGCGACCTCTGGTGTGAGGGGGGCCGAGTGTGGGGGGGGCTGAGTGGGGGGGGGCTGAGTGAGTGGGGGGGGGCTGAGTGGGGGGGGGGTCTCACACGCGGGCGTCCCGAACAGGATGGCGTCGAGAGCCTTGAGCTGCAGCTTCTGGCGGTGGCTGCGGTCGGTGATCTTCAGCACGCCCGACATGAGGGTCTGGTTGTTCACGGCCAGCCTGGGGGGGGGGGGGGGGGGAGGGGGGGGGGGCACGCGGGGGGGACACGCGCACCGAGACACAGAATGAACACGTGCAATAATGGGGGTGGGTTGACCGTACTTCACCGCGCTGCTCAGTGCGGGTTGGTGTCGGGTCGAGGGGGGGGGCAGCCCCCGGGCCGGTTCGGACGTCGCTCGCTGCCACCGATGTTGGTGGTGCGGTGTGCTAACCGCGGCGCCGCCGCTCCCGACGGGAGTGGCGTCGTCACGGGGCGAGGGACTCGCACGCGGGGTGGGGGGCGGCAGTGCCGCCCCCCCCCCCCCGCGTGGCCCCCCCCCCCCCGCGTGCCCCCCCCCCCGCGCGTGTTAAGAGAACGTCCCGCGGAAGCGGATATCACAGAGCTGCCTCCGAGTTCCTTCTCTGCTGCGTGACGGTCATTTTAGTTAACCACACACAATCACGTGGCAGCTCCTCTGCCCTGTGTTGTTGCTGTTATCACTCCCCACGCACACAACACACACAATGCATACACAATGCACACACAACGCACACACAATACACACATGCACACACAACGCACACACAACACACACAACGCACACACAACGCACACACAACGCACACACAACACGTGGTGTGTTATTCGTGCAGCACGGCACACGCGCACGTGCAAGCCCCAGGCAACGCGGGTGCCAATTGTGCACAGCAACACAAACAACACAAAGATGCCCCGTGGAGCCCTGGACAGACTGTGGGGGCAGGCGGTGTGAGTGAGCAGCAGCACGGTGGCACACGAGGGGGGGGGGGTGGCCAGCACCACGCCCGGCCGCCTTTGTCTCCCCGGTGCGGTGCTGTTTGCGCACCGCACCGGGTGACTGGTTTGAAGCCCAGGGCAGGCCTCAATCTTCACTGTCGCCGTTATTGAACACACGTGTTGACACACACACACGCACGCACGCAAGCACACACAAGCGTGTACACACACATGCGTGTGTACACACACATGCGTGTACACACACACATGCGTGTACACACACACACACGCATGCGTGTACACACACACGCATGCAAGCACACCCACGCGAGGACACACACCTGGGAAGACTGGGCCCATCAATGTTGTTTTGTGTCAGGATGTCTGAGTACTGAGGCAGCTCCACAATCTGCTCTAGCCAGTGGATCACGTCTTCCACTGTCCAGTTATAGACTAGAGACACCACGGAGACAGAGACACCACAGAGACAGTGAGACACAGAGAGACACAGAGACAGAGATACGACAGGGAGACAGTGAGACACAGAGACAGACAGACAGAGACAGACAGACACAGAGACACCACAGAGACAGTGAGAGACACAGAGGCACACAGAGACAGAGAGACACAGAAACACCACAGAGACACAGAGACAGTGAGAGACAGAGACACACAGAGACAGAGAGAAAGACACAGAGACACCACAGAGACACACATAGACAGAGAGACACAGAGGCAGAGAGACAAAGCGTTACATCACAGAGAGAGAGAGACACGATTCAGCATCGCACGGCATCACGCACACAGGCACACAGGTACGGAGAAACAGATGACCACACAGGTACGGAGATGACCACACAGGTGTACACAAGAGAGAGACATACATCGGCACAGACACACACACACAGACACACACAGACATACACACACAGACGCGTATCGAGACACAGGTAATCTGTATCACCTTAACAGACTGTTGGGGCAAGGGTTGACTGCGAGCACCTATTAAGACCAGCATAGCCCACGAGCCGCCTCTGTCTCCCCCGTGGCGATGTTCACACACCGCACAAGGTACTCAGTTAAGGTCTGAGTCGACCTAGGGGAGGCCCAAGACCAGTTAGAATATTCAACCTGGAGCTTACATAGAGCAGTGGTGTTGTGAGTCTCACACTCACTAGTGGAGAGAGAGAGAGACAGTGGTGGTGGTGGTGTTGTTGGTGTTGGTGGTGGTGTTGGTCGTGGTGTTGGTGGTGTTGTTGGTGGTGGGGTTGGTGGTGTTGGTGGTGGTGTTTGTGGTGTTGGTGGTGGTGATCTTCACCTTCTGAGTTTCTCCAGCTGAGCCACATCTCCTGCAGGCTGATGTGCTGGTCCTCCTTGTGGAAGTTGCTGTGCTTCAGCGCGGGGTCGCTGTACTTCATGTCCTCGCGCAGGAACTGGGGACCACAACGACCACTCAGGACGTCCGCGGGAAAGAGTTTCACAGCTCCTCGGATTCCTCCGGCACGGACACAAGTCGCGAGACGGACAGACCACCTCGCCCCCCCCCCCCCCAACTCCCTCCCTGCCTCACTCCCTGCCTGTGAGCGGGTGTGTGAGTGTGGGAGTAAGCGAGTGTGTGTGAGTGTGGGAGTGTGTGGGAGTGAGCGAGTGTGTGTGAGTGTGAGTGAGTGTGAGCGTGAGCGAGTGTGAGCGAATATGGGAGCGTGAGCGAGTGAGTGAGTGTGAGTGTGCGAGTGAGCGAGTGTGAGTGCGAGTGTGTCAGCGAGTGTGTGAGCGAGTGTGTGAGTGTGAGCGAGTGTGTGAGCGAGTGTGAGCGAGTGTGAGCGAGTGTGCGAATGAGCAAGTGTGCGAATGAGCGAGTGTGGGAGTGGGAGCGAGTGAGTGTGTGAGTGTGAGCGAGTGAGTCTGAGCGAGTGAATGAGTGTGAGACTCACGTCGTCGCTCTCCTGGGTGTCCACCGAGCCGTCGTCATCGTCGTCCATCTGGTTGTGGATTGCCCGCACGGCCTCGTAGCTGAGCAGCTCCAGCTCCGAGTAGACGCACTCGTCTAGCGAGCAGAAGCCTGGGGGGGGGGGGCAAGGGGACATCACGGACGTGATGGCGGTGATGGTGGTGATGGTGATGATGGCGGTGATGGTGGTGATG